CCCTCCTACTGTCACTGACATTAGCAGGCGTTAGTGGGCTAGGCCTCCCAGCCCTATGTGGGTTGAGCCAAGATAACCCACATCAATATATATATATATATATATATAATAATTTTTAATTGGACTCAAATTTTAATTGAATTGGATAGGGTTAAATTCACTTCCAAACTGTAATCAAATCCAAGTTCTAACATCCAAATCCAGGATAATCAGATTCAGAGTCAAATTGTTTATTAGACTTTTAGAGTCCATTGATAACCTTGGCCAGGGCCTAGGCTAAACAGTCCCTAAGCTTAACCTAGAAGTTATATGCATATATATTTACATAAAAAAATTATATTAATATATAGTTAGAAATTTTTATAATAAAAATCATAGTTTTATAATTGACCGGGACAAGCCTATCCTTGTCCCTTTCCCAAACAAATTTTATTTTGTCACGCTTGGGGTGTGGGTCAAGCCAAGTTAAGCAACCTTAAAAACTATTGATACACTACCAAAATCTAGCCCAAGATCTTTTACTTTTTTGTTCATTAGGCTACACAATTTGGGCAACCCATCCTCCATAGCGACTTCTGTTGCAATAGTAATAACTTTTATCTAAAAATAGTTAAGAACCCAAAAATAATGCATGCWTGGATTGTACTCGGTTTGGTTCAGTTCAATTACGAAAGTCACACTGTTCTTAAGGGTGCAATTTGGTTAGGTTGGGTCAGGTTGAGGGTCAAGCCAAATCCAACCCAAAATCTTAAACCTCAAGTTTGGACTTAGACTAATTTAATTATGACCACAACCTAATTTTATATTATTTACAAAAAAAATGGTAACATTTAATCATTAATAAAGTAAAATAAATAAAATAAAACACTAATAGATAATATAGAAGAAAAAAATAAATATTTATTAAGTAGTTAATAGTAATTTATTATTTTTATTAAAATAATTATATAAGTAATCCAAATCAATAAATTACTAAATTATTTTTATAAAATACTGCTAAAATAAAAATTAATTATTTTAAACAACACTACATTCCTTCCTTATACTAATTATCGGTTTATGTTGTTTCACTTTTCCTTGATAAATCCCTATAATTCCCACTAGTACATACATATAACAAAAAGAAGGCATGATTAGAAAAGAACTCTTTTTCTACTAGATATATTATATGTGGAAAAATACACTACAACCCATTGTAGAATTCTGAATTCCACTATAGACCTAAAACAATTCAAAATGTCAAACACCCCATCCTAAACACCACTACCCGCTCGTATATTAGCATCAATTTCAAGTTGCACTTACCCCAATTATAGGGTGAAACTAAGAATTCTGATAGTTGGCTGAACAGTTATTATCCCTTATATATGCTCCCTCCACTTACGGTCTTGGTTATTATTAATAATTGAATATGATAAAGCTGGAATAAAACGGAATCACTAGACAAAGGGAAAGGGAGTATATAATTAAAAAAATTTGGGTCGACGAAAAGGTTATCGCCTTGTACAAGTAAAAACAAATAAAGTTGTTAATTGTGTTAAAAGTAACATATAATTAAAATTGTTACAATGTTGCTGTTGTTATGCTCATGTTAATGGGTGTTTGTCTACCAGAAAACCAGAAATCCTCGCTTGGCATCAGCCTTATATTGGAGATATGGTCTAAGGTATCAAATCCACGGAGCTGCGACTCTGCGAGATTTCCATTGTATGTCTAGTAGGCTTCACGTGTTGTCCCTGCATATGTGCGGCCTGTCCCTATTAACCTCTGGCTCTGGCTAGGTAACTATTACTTTTTTTTGATTTTCTGATGTCAAAAGGAAAATATTAAGGGTAAATTACAAATAGGTAACCTATATTTTGGGTAGGGATGGATAGATATGTTGAACTTTTAATTATAATACTTGAGTATTATTTAGATCCATTCCTTAGTATTCGGTGAGTTAAACATTATATAATGTTAAAAATGCCCTTTTAGATCATTCTTAGGTAATCGATGTTTTTTTACAGTAAATAAAAGAGTTTATTCTATAAAATAATCTTAAAAATACATGAAAAGGGTAATTTTGACATTATATAATATTTAACTGATAGAATACTAATCGATAGACCTAAGTGTGTATTTTTGAGAGTTCAGAGCACTCAAATATTGTAATTGAAAGTTGAGCATCTCTAATTTACCGAAATGTTAATTATGTTAAAAGGTGTTTGTCTCTTGTACGCACGTGGAGTTCAGAACTTGCATGGAATAGTTTAAAGTACCAATTACCAAAGTTGAAAAATAGCGCATTTCCAAAATCAAGTTGCAGGCTTGCAGCTGAATCATTTTCTTCTTCTAAAAGAGAACGATGCTTATAGGTGTAAGATTGTCGGGAATGGCTTCTACATGATATTCAAAATGATTGTAATTCTGCTTTGGTTTTTTGGTTTAATTAACAGCAAAAACTAGTGCAATTAGTTGACAGAACACCCTAGTATAACCACTGTTTAGAAAACCGGACCAGATTAGTTGGTTGAATCATTACCTAGGCAGTTGGCTTTTTTTTTTTTTTGTTTTGAGCACTTGGCTGGTTCAATCATATCCTTAGGGCCTCTTCGTTTTTTGGATTTTGATAGCGGGAAAGTTGGTCAATGGGATTTTGGTTTCTATTGACCAAGATACCCATGTTCTTTTTCAGATTTATGTGGGGCTCACGAATTTTTATTTTCCCTTACCCATCTCCTAGGTGGATAAGTAACTTTCACAATTGAGGGGAGTTACCAACACTTCGATGGGACAAATTTATCCTTTGTATTAATGGTTTTTTATGGCTAAACCAATCATTGTCTTTTATCCGGTAAATAGAAGAACATGGATAAATGCACTTATCCAGGTAAATATTTCTCAAGGAACACTTACCCAGGTAAATAACTTCTCAAAATGTGAGTGGAGCCTTAAAGCCAAAAGTCCCAAAACCGTTCACCTGGCCAGTACAACTGGGAAACCAGTGGCCTGGTCCTAGTTTTAGAAAACCAATCTTTTTTTAATCTTTTTAAACATAAATGCAAATTTTTGGAAGGCATAACTTTATGTTGTATCCAATTGAGTGATCTGTTTTAATTTGGATAACTTTTAGATATCTATATATTACTTACGCGCCTTGCCCCATTTTTTCTCAAAAAGAAAATGCCTCCTTTAGCCTTAAATCTTAATTTTTATATAAAAAAAAAATGAAACTAAAGGGCTAGAAGGAGAAGAATTTATGAGCATGGACAGAACGTCATAGGTGGTATTTGGTATCAAGATGTTGATGGAGTCGATGATTTCGCTTAGAAAATCAAGAAAAAATGAATCGGCACAAACTCCCAAGCTCTATGTTTTTTTTGGAAAATTGTCTAAAACTCACCCCGGGTTTTCAGCATTTCTCTTAAATTCACCACAACTTTTCAAAATGTCTAAAACTCACCATGTCACTTACTCAACGTTAAACAAACTAACGGTGTTAATATATTACCATTTTAACCTTCATAGAAAAATATAAAATATATACATATATTTTAATAATTAGACATGAAAAATGGGAAAAAGTTCAAAAAAAATATTTTCAAATATAAAATACATAAAAACACAGAAATTTCAAAAAATATAAACAATTATAGAAATTGCAAACAAAATAAAAAAATATTTTCGAACTATAGAAATTGAAAAACAAAATTAGAAAATAAAAATTGTAGAAAAAATACAAAAAATTATTGAAAAACACAGAAATTGCAAATAAATAACAAAAAATACAGGAAAATTTATAGATTGTAGAAAATAGAAAAATATAAAAAACATTGGAAATTATAATAAAACACTAAAAATGCAAAAAAAAAACATGAAAATTGAAAACTGAAAAGACCCTTTTCCTCTAACTCGCCATCCAAGGGTAATTTGGTCACGAAAATTGTTATTTATGCTGATGTGGACACCTCTGTTGAGAAGCATACTAACAGTGCATTAACGGAAGGTAAGTTTTGGAAAATAAAATTTACTGACATGGTGAGTTTTAGACATTTTGAAAAGTTGTGGTGAGTTTAAGAGAAATGTTGAAAACTCATTGTGAGTTTTAGACAATTTCCCTTGTTTTTATGTTTATTAATCTCGCTACAAGACGCATAGACACCATTATTTGCCGTGGAGAAAACACTTCTACTAACAAACAAGAATTGTGAAAAAGATGATTTGTGAAGAAGTAACTTACAGAAATCGAGATAAAGAGTTGTAACAAGGTTTTACAGAGCCCAGATTTCCTACTCACTTTTCATAATTGAGATGTGGTTCAATTCATGCGCGTAGAGAGTGGACAGGAAAAGTGAGTAGGAAATCCCGAGTGGTTTTTACCTGAAACTAGCCAACAAAATAATAAATAGCCACATAAACAGTTTCTCTTGAGAAAATATCTCTAATACCAAACACCATCATACTTGACATCCTCATTAATCATGTAGAAATACAAGAATCTAATGTTCATTGGCTAAATTCTCAGCTTGGAATGTATAGATACCCCAGCAGTATTTGTTCGGTAATCTAAAAGAAAAGAAGTATTAAACTCCATTCAGCTTGAAACAGAGAGAGAGAGAGAGACTGTAATAAGGTAAAACCTACTTGTGAAAGAGGGCCAATAATCTTAAAGTTCGAAATCTGAATGGTGCGCATTCATCTAGCAAAGGAGAAGAAAAAGAGAAGAACGAAAGTAGAAACACAAAATCAAATAGCAATACAGCTTCACTATTCCACTCTTATTTAGCCTTATTACATCAATATACAGATTTTTTTTGGCAAATAATTAAGCTTCTTATATGGATCGACGCAAGTAATATGTTTCTGTTCATGCTTATATATGTATATATGGCCCATCCACTTACGTGTCTCGCCTGTTTCTAATTCTGTATTTCAATCCAATATAATTTGATTAGGCGAAGTAGTACTCCTTCAACTGCTTCACCATTAATCACTACTACTGGTTGGGGCTCTCAGAATCAAGCAACGACGACCTTGCAAGTGAGGCTCAAAGGATCCCACATGCCCGGAACAAGGAACATCCGCCCCTCGGCTCCATAAACATTGAAGCTCCCTTTGCTTGCCTGATCAACCATCAATTTCCCAGGATATCCAGGGTAAGCATCGGCGCCGAATATGCCCGGACAGGCGGTCACAGCCTCTAACGGCGCCAAGGCATCGCCCTGGAAGTACCCCGTCTTCAATGGATTAGTTGCAGCTCCGGCCAGAACAGTCGCTATATTCACAACCATTGCATCCATGCCGACGCTATTAGGTGCCACCAGCGCCGGGCCGGGCGGGCCGTAGCTGGGTACGGCGTATGGCCATGCACAGAGGCTCGGGCACTGGGCGTGCGGATCCCCTACATGTGCATAAACAACTCTTTCAGTTGGAGATACCATGAAGCTGTCGTGAAACCCACACGACCCCATGCAAAACTTCTCCACTGTTACATCTGCAGCTGTCAGGACGAAGTATATTCCGGTAGGGTCAACTGGGAATGCCTTTTGGGCTATCGCATTTTTTACCAGGATGGCTATGTCGGCACGTTTGATGTTCTTCCCTCGAGAATAATTGACGTCTCCAACTTCTCTGGCCAGCTTGACGCTACCGGAAACAGGCTTTCCGGTTGCGTCTTTGTATGATTTGGCTGTTGCCCACCATGTTGAGACGGTGGGTTGTCGCCGGAGAGAATGGGCTGTGGAGGGATCCAAGGAAGCAAAGAAGTTGGAGATGATGGTCCTGTTGGTGAGAGAGAAGGGACCATACCAGATGAGATAGATATTGATGGTTGGCCCGGTCAAGAGAGGACCATTGTGGTACTTGAGTTGGGTGGATGTGGTGACTAGTGAAGGAAGTTGGTCGTCTGGCTTTGGGTTGAGCCCATGTGAACATGGGGCTATAGCCAATAAGCCAACAATGGAGACGAGGAGGAGGAATAACAGAGACCTGATCATCAGTTGTCTGTCACCCATTCTCATCATTTGGGGTTTCTCTCTTTCTTAGTGAGAATGATGATGAGTTTGGTGCCTGTGAGTACAAGGAGGGGTCCCTTTTTATAGATATGGTTCCAAGTCTTCCTAAGTTCCTATTCCATGGTCGACAAAAGAAAAAGCTTGTGTACTTTCCTCTGTTCTGCACCAATAATTAATTGTGTATCATCACTAATCTATATATACTATTCCTAACTACATGAACTTGATCACAATTATACAGCTAGCTAGGGTTAGATTTTCATGTAAACCTGATCATACAATCTGAAGTCTGTATTATATATCCATCTCCTCAACCAGTAATCAGCCAAGGTCACCAATCAATTAGAATTGTTCAATCATGTGGTTCAAGTTTTTTATAAGCATCATCTGATAATTTTTGGGAAACCTTCTTCCATACCAAAATAAGCGTATATCATAATAATAATAATAATAATAAATAATATTCCTCCATCAGTCCCTTATCCTAGAATACGTTAGTGGCACGTAGTGGGTCCAGCTTAACCAGGACCATTAATGGAAGATTAGACATGACATGACACTTAAGTAGTATATAGAGGAGGGGAATGGGAATCTGATCCTACCTACTGAAAAGATTTGATCATCGATTAAATAATATCTCATATTAATTTCAAGTGTTTAAAGCTAAGTTTCAATTATGGCTGAAGACATGTCTATCTCCAATCAATCAATCATGTAGGAGGGATTCTTTTTTCCCTTTCCCTTGGGTAATTGTAGGAGGGATTCTTTATTATTTGAATTCAATGTGGAAACAATTGATTCTTTTTAGACATGTCAACATGGCAACATGATAAGACCCCAGTCTTCTTTAATTTCTTCTTCTGTATCACTGTTGCGAGAGTGAGCTGTGAAATCCATCATCATAAGGATGTCTTCAATTCTGGTTGCGCTCATGTTTCATCTAGCTCAAGTCATGAATATATTTATATACACGATGAATAAGGTTTTTGAAGCAGCATATGATTTCAGAACCAATAATATAGAACACAATAATTTTTCATAGCTTTGTCGATCAGGCAACATGCATGGTTAATTTGCTGATATAAACATATACGAGATAGCAAGTTATAAATGCTGCGTCTCACACCTATTATTATAGTATTTTCATTCGAAAATTACTGTGCAAAAGAATGATAGTTGTACAAAAGGGACAATTAATAATCACATCACATATAATTAAAAGATGAACCACAAATAGAACAGCTTATGATTAAGAAGAAAAAAAATTGTTATCTTTTTATATATAAAAAAATAATAATAGGCTTTTAAAACTACATACGTATACCACCCTTTTTTTAGAACCATGAAACACCACCTAAAATGAGAGTTGGGATCACCTACCAACAAAACAACGTTCCAACACCTCTCCAACATGATCTGATACCGTACATTTCATACATAATAAGTCCCACTTTTATGATGGGTTCCAGTATCATGTTGAAGTGTGTATGGTGTTAGACCATGTTAGGAGGGTGTTGGAAGTATCAGGACTCCTAAAATAAAGCCTGTAAATCAGATGGGCAGGAACTTGTTACAAAAGGTGTATATAAATACTATTAATAATAAAACGAGGATGGAAATATGAAATTTAAGAGAGAATAAAATATACTAAAATTAAAAAAAAAAAGAAAAAAATGCAACACATATTTGGGTCTAGACCAGTTTACAGGCCAGGTTCAACATAATGTATAATGTAAAAGTCAGGCCCAAAGCTCAGCCCGTAAACAGATCTATTTGGATCATAAGCCCTAACATCAAAGACTAGCTTTCATCTTGAAGCATGTGTGACACAATGTGCAGCTAGGCCACTCATTGGACTAAGATAATCTTCCTTTCTAACATGTAAAGTTGGTCTTAGACGTCTCCTAGCTGGGTGAAGTTGAAAGAAAAGCTTCTTCTGTCGTATATGGCTGGTGTATAATTTTGGGATGGAGGTTGATGCTCTATGATTGTAGAGCCAACTTGTTATCCTTTCCATATGATATTTCTCTGTCCGGAGATGGATTGACACCAAACTTTTTCCCAATGGACGACTAATCCGTCGACTCAGATTACATCTTGGACGGCACGACATTATCACGCCCATTGGACCTGGATGGTCTCCACGTGAATAATGCGCTTCGCATTTGATCTCATTTCGGCCTTTGTTTTTTCGAAAGTTATTTACCAGTTTGATAACTATTTTTTAAGAAACATTTATCTGGGTATGTATATTTATTTATATTTTTTCTATTTTTCAGGTAAATAAAAGATAATGATTGTTTTAACCATAAAAATTTATTATTAAAAGAGACAATTTTATCCTATCTAAGTGTTAGTAATTTATTTCCACCGTAAAAAAGTTATTTATCTATTTAGGAGATGAAAATAATTTTTCTATAAACCCTACATAAATCTAAAAACTTAACATGATAAAAATCTCGTTGACCAACTTTTCTCTCTTAAAATCCAAAACATAAATCAGCCCTTCATACAGGATATTGACAACCATAACGAATATATATGATTAAGAAGCTTAGACCTTATTCCCAATGGAATTCTGAAATCAACACTATACCAGAGGTGGCAATGAGCTGGCCATGTGGGTTCAGATTCACTGGCCTGAGCATTTCAACTATATTTGCTGAATCCGAACCCACAGCAAGTATTGGCAGGTGTTACAGGCTTCTCTAGTTAAAATAAAACGCCAGATTTGTAATTTGTTGTTTGCTTTGCTAGAGGTTATACCACTTCGACCCTGACCAGTCAAACTACACAATCTCAATAACATTACAAAAAGGACAACCAAATTCAGGGATGACGCTATTTATTGGCACAAAAGTAGGGGTGACCATGAATATATGTTATAAGGGGTTTTATGTAAACCTGGGTCTGTCCTAGCCCATAATTATATGGTCATTAGACCTGTTCATGGGCCTGGTAGTTTGATGGCCCGGCCCGACCCCTGAATGGGCTTGCACATGATTTTAAGCCTGTGGGTTTGACCTCGGGCCTAAAAGCCCGGCTTGATTATTTTTCAGGCGGGGCTTGGGATTTGTCAAAAAAGCCCAACCTGGCCCAACCTTTTATATAATATAAAATATATAATTATTTTTCATAATTTCTAAACCCTAAGTCCCTAACCCGACTAACCCTTTCCCTCTTTTCATCAATACTTCTCAATTCTCACTCTCAGAGTCTCAATATGTCTATAGCTCAAGGAACCAACCAGTGCCACCAACGAACTAGCAATCTCCGACAAGTCAGTGTCGAGCATAAGCTAGCAACGACAAGCTTCAACAATCGCGTCATTTTTATCATTCTCCAACGGCAACAAACTAGGCTAGCAATGGTAGTCGGCGATGACAAGTGACCAGGTCCTCTCTCTCTCTCTCTCTCACGTTATCTTCCTCTCTCTCTCTCTCATTATCTCCCCCCCTCTCTCTCTCTCTCTATTCTGATACAAGGAAGTCGAACAGATTTCTCTCTCTCTCTCTCTCTCTCTCTCTCTCTTGTTATCTTCCTCTCTCTTTCTGTTCTGATATAAGGAAGTCGAACAGATTTCTCTCTCTCTCTCTTCGGGCTTGGGCCCGGGCTTCTGGCTTTTTATGAGGGCCAGGGTTGGGCCCAAGTTGTAGGCCCATTGGTCAGGCTGGGCTCGGGCTTGAAAAAATCCTGTTAATGAAGAATGAAAGTCTGGCCCAAGCCTGGCCCATGAACACGTCTAATGGTCATGTACATTGTAAATCATGCTAGGCCTTCTAGGCTTAGCAGTTCTGGGCTCAGGCCCAAGCCCAGTCCATCTTTTTGCATGCCTAGTGAAGGCTCGAGGGCCAATTTAGAAATGATCATCCTCCACAAAAGTCTCCTTTTTCAGGGTTGGACCATGATACTGGAAAACCTTATAATCAATCAATTAGCATCATAAAAGCAGTAACCAATCAAGTGATATTCTTTAAAATTAGTTGGGGATTTTGATTGGTCAAAACTCTTCCTGTATCATACTGTTGTTGCCAAGGATGGGCCGAGAGCAATAAGATAATTTTACTTCCTTAGCCAAGTTCTTGTGTGTCTGAGGGTTGATCTGTCCAACATGTAAAGGAGAGATTATGTCAGAGGTCATGGGTGTTATCCCAGGGACGGAGTCTCTGACGATCAAGTTAGTCAAGTGCACAAAAGGAGGTCGGACGAGGCCTAAGGAGAGAGCTCAGACGAGGTCACCCGAGAGTAAGAGAGCTTAAGAGCATGAATAAGCCAAGTGATCTTACCAATAGAGGGACACCCCTATTTATACTTGACTTCGCCTTGGGAGTGGTTAGCAGCGGACGGCCAGAAACTCATCCAGCCGATGCCACATGGTGCCATCATGGGCCCTGCCATGCGCCTACATCACATACTTTTTCTGCACCATAGATTCATCATTTTTAAGTTTTGTATGTTTTTATAATGTCACAGTTTGTTTTTTCAGAATTTTTTTTTGAGGTCAAAACTGCAAATAAGAAGATTTGAACCTCAATGTTCAGGTTGAAAAACAATAAGTTCACTACCATTGTAATGCTTCAATTGTTGGCAAAATTTATGATGCATCTTTTGTACCATACAGCAAAAGACGTGATTAATTGAATATTAAGTATATTTCGTTAAATTTGAAGTACATTTTGTGAAATATAAAGCAATAAAAAATAAATAGATTTTAATATAATTAATTTAAATCTTGATTTAACATGCGACCAATATTAATGAATAAAATGTTATTGAACTCTCAATCGTTTCATTTTTTTTCTATAATCCTATAACAACAACTATCACCATCGTCATTAGCAACTGCAGTAGACATGCCACCAACTTGTATATTGACCTTTCCAGTTTCAATTAGATGACTGTTACAGTGTACATTCACCCATTTAAATTAGTCTGTAGAACATATAGGCAATTTAATTTATTATATGAAACTGATTTAAGAACGTAATGGCACCCGTACC